CTGGCACGAGGGTATGGCTCAACAGCCTTCCTGTTAAGGAGGGAACAAGATAGTCTGGCCACTGGAGCTGGTGGGATCCCTCACAGTACTGCAGTATCCCTAAGTCTCCACTGAACCTGGGATTCTTGTCTTGCTGTCAGGCCTGCCTCTCAAGCTCACATTTATGTTTCACTTTTCCCCAACACCTGAGATGACTTGGGAGACATCCTATTCTTCGTAACGAAGCAGCCTAACCAAAACCCTTACAAATCACATCTATAACTAGTTTAAAATTGGTGCCTGACTAGTGGCTTCAACTTCTGATGCAAAGGCCCAAAGACAAATGGCTGTGAGGATTCCTCAAACACCAAGTGCTCTATGAATTAGAGGTCACATTGATGTGTAATTTAACCACATAGGGAAAATTTTTACAGTTAAATATATTGCTTATGGTTAATGATATACTGGCAAATTTTACCAAATAAAAATAATAATTTTACATTGGCACAAATAGTTCATTTATAGAAATAGTCCTTATATGAGCCATCCTATCCAATCTAATTACAGATACATGTTACACCTTATATTGCTTGGCATGCCAAGTTAGTTATACAAATCACAATTCCAATCAAACTCCAAGCTAGTAAATATATTTAGTATTTGAGAATGTTTTAGTTATTAGTAACCTAATATTCATTAAAATGGCTTAAGTTATCTAACAATTTTCTGACACATAAATGCTTTCTTCTCATTATTTAAGAAACTCTAGGACTCTGATAAGAAACCAAGCAAAGCCAACAGGCTCACCAAAATCACGCTTAAATACGACAAGCAAAACTATAAATTTGGAATAATTACCAAGATACTAATAATTAACAATCACTTAAATATGATTCAAGAGAAATTCCTGGTTATTGAAAACCCCTGTGATCAACCAGAGCACAGAATTATCAGAAACTGATTATGTAAAACAATAGTGCATTGTTTCAAGGGTGTATGTGTACATGTAATGACGTTCACAGCTATGTTTTACTAATGACTCAAACATCTGAATTTTCTGCTATCTTAATCTTTAAATCAACTGCAAAAGAAGCTGCCAAAAGCAGTCAGTAGGAAAGCACACAATTCCCAAAAGAATTTTGTATATACAACTCATTTTAATACTTAAATGAAGTTTTTTAATTAATGAATTTGGACAAGATGTTAAAGATTCAAAACTAATTTGAAAAGTAATGGGTGATTACCAAGTCCCTAATAATACTCAACACACACTGGTTTTTAGAAAATCACAGATCATATATTTTTTTTTCATATTCTTATATGTACATTTTACAGCACCTGGCATATTCTTGTCCAATATTACATACAATTATGGCAGGACCTGACAGTGGTTACTGTCCCACTTTAAAAAATATATATTATTGATTTCAGAGAGGGAGAGAGAGATAGAAACATCAATGATGAGAAAGACTAATTAATCGGCTGACTCCTGCATGACACCTAATGGAGATCAAGCCCACAACCCAGGCATGTGCCCTTGACCTGGAATTGAACCCAGGACTTTTCAGTGTGGAGGCCTATGGTCTATCCACTGAACGAAACTAGTTAGGACCTGTCCCACTTTTTAAAAGAGTTTTGACTGAACAATAAGTCAAGGTTGAAAAAATAATTGGTGCATGTATTTCTTAATTTGGATTACCTTTTTGTTGTGAATTGGTTCTAGTTACTGTAGTTACCTTGAAACAAAACACTGGCAAAGACTATATTGGATTGAAATTACATGACTCTATTCCTACTGAATAAATAATACATTTCAACTGTTCATATTTCATTGTAAAAGATATACAACTCTAGAGATTTGCTCTAAGTTTTGAAAGCAAAGTGAATCAGAAATCACAGTGCTAGGAGGAAACAGTCTGGAAGAGAGATATTTATGCTCGACTGAGTTCCCCTTGCCACTACAAACCTCTCTTACAGCCTATTACATTAAAACAATTGACGTGGGAAAAGATGTATGATATAAAAACCCTTTGAGGCATTTGTCAAGCAGATTATCTCTCAAACTACACCTTGGTTTAGAAACCTTTGAACAGGAATTTCGTGTGTTAATCTATGTGCACACTCTTTTCACATGTTCTCTTACCTCTGACTTTTTAAATCTAAACCATACAGTAAGTCATTCTATCAGAAGACTATATTTATGTTTGCATGACTACTGAAAACATCATTGCACAACGACAGTACACATGCAAACATGCTGATTTTAGTGAGCTTCTCCCCTATCCCTCTACCTTCTACCTGCCTCGCTACACACACACACACACACACACACACACACACACACACCCTTCCCCCCGGTTAAATCCCAAAGGAAACTCTGAGTCCGGTGATAGGATTTTTCTTGTCTATAGGGTAGGTCTATTTAACTTTTTATTGATGATACTGAAAACTTTTTAAACCCATGATGCAGACAGTGGGGTGGTAAGGGCCTGGGGTGGAGGGCAGAGGTGAGCTGGAGGGGGTTGGTAGGGGAAAAAGGGGGACATATGTAATTCCTTGTAACAATAAAGATTTAAAAATTAAGTAAATAAAGCTTTTTAAAGACTGCTAATGTATATATAGTTTCCCACACCAAAAACACAAATAAACCCCCTACTTTAATATTTCAAGACAAATTAAATTTCTCATATGAGAATATCAGTTCAAGAGTCCTTAGAAGTCACAATGCATAAATGCTTCTGATAATACAACACATTAATGTCAAGGTGCACAGCCAATAACGCAAAAAACCTCCATACAACATTACCTGTCAAAGGACATCTGTACGGCAGCTCAGAGAAGTGGCATTAGCCGAGGAGCACAACTGCGATCCAAAAAGATCATTAGGCCTCAACTGTTACTCCCCTCCCCCATCCTCATCTTCTCATCCTTCACAGCAATTAAGCAGGAGAGGTGCTATTCTGCAGCCTACGATTATCCACACCAGCCTCCATCCTTGGCCCAGAGCTGGGTTCACCCTGGGTGGACCCTCTCAGCCTATTATTTATTCCCTGTCCAATATTCAAGAAAGCTTCTACACTGGCATCCAAAGCAGAAAACCAGATCTTGTCTCATAACCCCCTATTCATAAAACAGAACAAAACACAATGACAGCTCCGGAGCCAGAGGACCTATCGAACCATCAGACCACTAATATGTCAAAGCGCCCACACAACACACACTTGGCTAAATGTTAACCTCAAGTGCGATCTTAAGCATAACCCAGACCGACTACTTCTGAGACGACCCCGGTCACATTCAATAAATACAATAAATAAGAGTCAACTGAACAAATCCCCGTCCCCAGTGAAGTCAGGGGCAAATGAGGAATGCGGAGGCAACTGCCTATCAGGCCACGACACACGAACACCCCGTATCTTCACGTGCACAAAAGAGAAAGAGCAGCAGACACCAGGTGTGCAAAGGGAAGAGACGAAGGTGGAGGAGTCTGAACGTGTTTTTGAGTGTCCTTTAGCTTCCAATGTGCTCTTCTGCCTCTCACGAGGTGGCCAAAAAGGCCGGGCACGAGATGGGTGGAAAGAAAGCTGAAGAAGAAATGCACCCGCCCTTCCCCCATCTTCTCTCCTCTGTCCCCAGAAGAGCTGTGTCTGTGCAAACCTAGTCCCAAATATGGGAGAGGGAGAACGAATGTGTGTATGAAGAACAATGAGCCCTCAGCCTGAGAGAGAGAGAGAGAGAGAGAGAGAGAGAGAGAGAGAGAGACACCAAGCTTCTGCCTCTTTTCCCTGCGACCTCAACAACAGGGAGAGCTGGACGCCGGCTTTCCATCCAGCCTAGGCCCTCAAAATCAGAAGTGGTTTATAATTTACGGTGGGATTAACTCCCCGAGCAAATCCAGGGAAGGAAATAGCTACCCAAAGACGATTTTATTATTCTCTCTCCCCTCCCCCAACAGACTGAGGCTAAAGAATCCAGTGTACACCAGACACACAAAAAAAGGTCTCTCTTTACAGGGAAAGCAACTATCAAAACTGTTTCCAATCTAAGCACAGGATGCATTAATTTGTGTTGCATTAAAATGTTTGCTTTATAATTCTCCAGGTGCTAGCTATCTTTTACTAGATACCTTTTTTGGGGGGTTAAAAAAAATTTTTTTTTTTCCCCTCTGGAGAAAGCTATTTCAGGATTCACACAAAACTACTTTCTAAATGTATCTTAAAATAGTAACACATCCTGAAACATTTAAGACACATTTTGCTTAAGTCAATGTTTGAAGTCTGTAACCCAGGGGAGGGGTGGGGGGGATTGTAAGCAAACCCTTGGAAAAGAGGCAGAGGAAAATGACAATTCCACAATGAATCATCTGCGTTCCTTTCAACAACTTCTCCAGCAACCCGTTTCAAAGGAAACCCAACACATAAAACACCCCCCCCCCCCGCCTCCCATCACACTCCATCCATGTAAAACTACTTCTCCCGCTTCCAAACCTTAAAAAGAAAAATAAATAGCATAGGAGCCGCTCTCTTTTCGAGAGCAGAAGGAAGGCATGAGCAGAAGAACCTATTCCGCTGCAAGTTGAGTTTTGGGTCTCATAACGTAGTCATCGGAGAACTAGAGATCGAGAACAAAAAACAAAAACACAAAAAGGAGCGAATCTTCTCCAGCGTGAGAAAGAAGACAAGCAGCCCAGTCCTCCCCCAAGACCCCCGGACCCACAAACAGGCGGGAGATGCCCCGCCGCCCCGGGTCCCGCCGGCACCGGCGCCCGCGGACCGCTCAGCCCGGCGGGGGGCCCGGGGCGCGGCACCGGCGGGAGGGCGCGGGGCGGCCGGCGGGGAGGGACACTCCGGCCCGCGGCCCCCGCGCCGGCCTCCGCCCCCGGCGCCCCGGACGGACCGGTCCACGCCCACCCGCGCCGCCGCCCGCCCCGCGCCCGGACCCGGACCCGGAGCCCGGAAAGCGGGCGCCCGCCCCGCGCGGGCAAGAGGGAGACTTACCTCCCCGGCGGCGCTACACCATCAATGGAGGGTCGGCCGGCTCCGGGAAGGCGGGGACGGGGCGGGAGGCCCTCGGACGGGGCTGGGCAGCCGGGCTCGGGCCGAGGGGGCGGCCGCGGGGCGGCGGCGGGCGGCGGGCTGCCCTCCCGTGACCTTCCGCGCGGGCTCCCGCTCCCGCTCCTCGCTCGCTCGGCGCTTCAGGGGCGGGCGCCGGGGACCATGTCTGTTTTGTTTCCCTGAGGATGCTGGTGACGGGCTCTCCCTCCACCGGGAGGGGAGCGGGCACGCAATGTGGGAGCGAGCGCGGGAGGCGGAGGCGGAGGCGCGGTCGGGACCGAGCCGGGCAGCGTCTCGGGCGGCGCGGGAGGAAGAGGAGCGGGGAGCGCGGGGGGCGGCTCGCGAGCGTCTGCAGGAGCAGCGGCGCCTCAGCGATGGAGGCCGAGCCGCGGCGGGGCTGCTGCACCGGCCCGCCGCCCACTCCGCGCCCGGGGCCGGCCCACCTCGCAGTATCGCGCCTCTCTATTGGCCCCCCGTGGCGTGACGCGCGCGGAGGCGGGGCCAATGGGAGACGGAGACCGGGCGGAGGGGGCGGGACCCCTCCTTTTTTTTTTTTTCCTTTTTTCTTTTTTTCTTTCTCGTGAAATGGGCAGCGGGGAAGGTGGGCAGCGGCCGGGCGGTGGGCCGGGCTCCGGCGGGGTCGTGCGGGCGGGGGCCGCGGCCGCCGGGGGCAGGTCCCAGGGGCAGATCCCGGGGGCAGCAGGGGCCGCGCGGTCCCGTTGCTCCGGCTCTCACCCGGGTCACCATCTGCCTTGCCAGCCCTGAAGACGCGGGTTCACGTCCCCGGGGAACACGGAGGGCGTTCAAACCATCCGCTACGGACTCTCGAAATTCTGATGAGCATGAACGTTTTCAAAATAAGGCTCTGGCAAAAGATGAAGAGAAAAACGAGACTGGCGGATCGAGTAAGGAGAAAAGCCTGAAAAATCTCATCGGGGAATAAAGCAGGGACTGTCAGGGGATTTCAGAGAGAGCGATGTGCCAGCTCTGTGCCGTAAGTTTGGGGGTGGAGGGAAACCCCCCAAAATCTAAATAATCACCGTTTTGTCTTTGAGAAACATCGTCTTCTCCCTTTTCCCCCAAGACTGAGAAATCACAGGGTCTACAATGCCATGAGGGGAGTGAGGGGCAGACCAAATACATCCTTTTTTTTTTTTTTTTTTTTGCTTATATATTTCATTTTTTACAGAGAGGAAGGGAGAGGGATAGAAAGCTAGAAACGTCGATTAGAGAGAAACATCAACCAGCTGCCTCCTGCACACCCCCTATCGGGGATGTGCCCGCAACCAATGTACATGCCCTTGACCAGAATCGAACCTGGGACCCTTCAGTCTACAGACCGATGCTCTACCACTGAGCCAAACCGGTTTCGGCAAATACATCCTATTTAATAAATATAATTTATAGGATTGAGGGGCCTTGGGAATTTTAAGTATGATTAGCAGTTTTTGTAATGCTAGCATGTTTATTGGGTTCTGTCATAGACCCTAGCATGCCTCCAGGGTGAGCCATCAACCTATTGTTTGCTCCTTAATAGACTTTAAATGCTTTTGGGTGTCCTGATGCCACATTTTTCCTGGAGTTCAGATCCGTATATAAAAGGATGATTAAGGGATAGAGCATAGCACGAAATAACTAACTCGTTTTTTCACATTTTTCTCTTTGGAATAGCTATTCAGATTTATAGTTTCACATCCAACATTTTTTGTAATGTTTTCATTGATTTCAGAGAGAGGAAGGAAGAGGGATTGAAACATCAGTGAGAGAATCATTGATCCGTGGCCTCCTACACACCCTCTACTGAGGATCAAGCCCCAAATCCGCATGTGTCCTGACCAGGAATCCAAATGTGACTTCCCACAATCATTGAACCACACTGGCTGGACCAACATTTTTCTTTTAGGAAAAATTTAACTTGCAGATATTATTGGACTGTGGCCCACAAGATCTAAAAACAAGTAGGACTTTGCCATTACTTATCCAAGTAATTTTTAAATGTTTTAATTGAATGTATTGGGGTGACGTTGGTTAATAAAATTATATAGGTTTCAGGTGTACAATGCCGTAATACACCATCTGCATATTGTACTTAGTGTGCTTACTGCCCAAAGTCAAGTCTCCTTCCATCATCATTTATCCCTCTGTACCTTCTTCTACCTCCACTCCACCCCACCCCAGGAACTTTAAGGAAGAAAAATCCGGTCTGCTACAATCCCTTCAGCTGTGAAATGGGAAAAGTGGTTAATACTGCCTTACACACCTAATAATGTGAGAACTGAATTCTCACAACATAACAGATTCAATAAACATCTCTCCACATCCTAGGTATGGATGAAACCATTCAACATCAGTTTGGAAATAGTGAGGGGTAAAGTGTATAAATGGCTCTGGTTTCATTCAAAACCCACGTTTACAGGAGCGTGACTTCTAATCAGGGGTCAGCGGGCAGTGAGCAAAGGGACATGGCTTCCCAGATGAGCCTGTGGCTGCTGCAGGGTCATTGAGCAGTGACGAGAGGGGCTCTGACGATCAGGAACCTGCATTTACTGTGGTATTAGGGAAGGGGGTCCTTTTCATTTGTTTATAACAATGTAAATTTAGAAACCTCAAAATTCCACCTAGTTGTAAAGCATAATAGTATGGTATCGGGCCACGAAATTAGCAAACTAGACCTGTTAACAATCCTACACAGTCCAGCCATACAGCCAGAGAGTACATACAGCCTTCCTTCTGAGGACCAGAGAGGCTGATAAGGTAATAATAATGCATTTTAATAAGAACATCTGTGAAACCATTGATCAAAAGCATCAGGCCATGCATGTTGCATCCCTTAGCCCAGTGGTCGGCAAACTCATTAGTTAACAGAGCCGAAGTTTGCCGACTGCTGGGATAAGGGCTTAATCACAAGGAACAACAACAGCCTGTAATTATCGGAATGGAGAGTCCAGCCCATTTAGTCCTGACAACAGTCCATGAAGTGTTATTACTATTATCTCCATTTTAAAGGTCAAGAAACTGGTCTTAGAGGAGTTAAATAACTTGCTTAAGGTAAAGAGGTCAAGATGGGTTGTTTTTCCATTATGAAATTAAGAGTTTTTCCATTATGAAATTAAGAGTTTTCTGCTGAAACCGGTTTGGCTCAGCGGTAGAGCATTGGTCTGCGGACTGAAAGGTCCCAGGTTCGATTCTGGTCAAGGGCATGTACATTGGTTGCAGGCACATCCCCGGTAGGGGTGTGCAAGAGGCAGCTGGTCGATGTTTCTCTCTCATCGACATTTCTAGCTTTCTATCTCTCTCCCTTCCTCTCTGTAAAAAATCAATAAAATATATATATTTTTTTAAAAGTTTTCTGATTTAGCTGGTTTGCCTCAATGGATGAGCAGTGGTTCTCAATCTTTGTAATGCCATGACCCTTTAATACAGCTCCACATGTTGTAGTGACCCCAACCATAAAATAATTTTCATGGCTACTTCATCACTGTGATTTTGCTACTGTTAATGAATCGTCACGTAAATGTCTATGTTTTCCAATGGTCTTAGGCTCTACAGCAGCAGGGTCGCCTAAAACCATCAGAAAACACAAATATTTAATTATGATTCATTAACGGTAGCAAAGTTATGAAGTAGCAATGAAAATAATTTTATGGTTGAAAGTCACCACAATGTGAGGAACTGTATGAAAGGGTCGAGGCATTAGGAAGGTTGAGAACTGCTGGGATAGAGCATCTGCCTGCAGACCGAAGGGTCCTGGATCCTTCCCAGGCTCGGGTAAGGGTACACACAGGAGACAACCAATTGATGTGTTTCCTCACATTGTTATTTCTCTCTGTCTTTCCCTCTCTCTTCTACTCTCTCTAAAAATCAAAGGAAAAATAACCTCAGGTGAGAATTAAAAAAAAAAAAGTTTCCTATTCTCTTTCCAGCAAGCTTTAGAAAATGGGGATGACTTTGGTTATTGAGTCTGAAAATACCAAGGACTTTGAGCCAAACTGGTTTCGGCCTGATGGATATTTTTAAATGTAAAACTGAATCACTAAATGACTATTTCTTAGGCTAAGTTTACTAGTGTTTATATTATTATTGTCCTCTATAACCTACATATAGATTATGCTTATTCTTCGGTATATGTCAGATATTTTATGATTAAAAAAAAAAGAAACCATAAAAGTATTAAAGGAATATTAAAATTTTTCAAATCATGATTGAGGAGGTTCTGTCTAAGCATGATAGGAAATCCAGAAGCCATAAGGAAAAACACCAATAAATTTTACTGTGTGAATATTTTACATCTCTGTAAGGCAGAAGAAACAACAAAGCAATGCAAGGAAGAAGCAGAGGGAAAATATTTTTAACACCTAAAACAAAGGGCTAACTTTTTTAACACAATATAATCATAATTAAATAAATGCAAATTAAAATCATGTCTTAGATTAGAACTCATTTTTACTTCATAATACGCAGCATGATGGGAATGTGGGAAAAGGGGCACTCTGAGGCATTGTTGGTAAAAAAAAATATAACCATACCATTTTTTAGAACACAATTTGACACTATCTCTGAAGATAGTTAATAGCCCAGCAATTCTAGAAAGCCATCCTACAAATAATTTTGCATAACTATATGCAAATATATACAAAAAGCTTGTAACATTATTTATAATAGTGAAAACCTGGAAAAACTTAAACATCCACAATGAATAATGTTTCAACATACAATGGCATACTTGACAGGGTTCAAAAAGAATTAGGTAAATCTGAATTGATATGGAATGATAACCAGGATTCAGAGTTAAATGAAAAAAGCAAGTCACACCGCAGTTATTTAAAGTATAATTCTAGTTGTAATTTTAAAAGGACAAGTTTGTGTATGCTTCAAAACTGTCTAGAAACATAGCCACCAGAAGAATGTAGTCCACTGGGCACAGAACAGAGAGTGAGGAGAGAACACGAGACTGACTTTCATTCGGTCTATTGTTTTGTGTGATTTTTTTTCTCTTCACACCAAGCATGTATAATTTTTATAATTAAAAAAAGAAAGAAATTTGCTCTGGCTGGTTTGGTTTAGTGGATAGAGCATTGGCCTGCGTGCTGAAGGGTCCTGAGTTCAATTCTGGTCAAGGGCACATGCCCAAGTTTTGGGCTCAATCCCCGGTGGGGGCGTGCAGGAGGCAGTCGATCAATGGTTCTCTCTCATCATTGATGTTTCTCTCTCTCTCCTCCCTCTCTGAATCAATAAAAATATTTTTAAAAAAATAATAATAAAAACTCACCAAAAAAGTAATAATAAGTTCTATGAACATTTCACTGGCAACTAGTCTTTGTAATTCACCAGAAGTACTCAAGCATTAGAACAAGTCAATTATTTGCCTCTAAAATGCCTTAAGGTGCCCTGGCCCGGTGGCTCAGCTGGTTAGAACATCATCCCACTCACCAAAAAGGTTCCAGGTTTGATTCCTGGTCAAGGCACATACCTAGTTTGTGGTCC